CCTTATTGCGTAGATTGTGGGACGATATCATAAGGTATGAAGAGGTGGATACCGAAGAGTAGGAAATACCGTTAACAAGCCGGTAGATAAAGACAAGATTTAATTCGATACGTCTGATCCAAAGAGGTTCTAAGTTGAGTTGTTGACATCTTTGGTGATAGTCTTTGTTATCAGAATACCCCAGAACAGCTTCGCTGAACTTTCTTTGAACACCTTCAATTTTAAACAGGTCATTATGTCTGCAATTACTGTAAACTAAATTACCATATTCAAGAATGGGTAAGATACATTTTCTGTATAATAACAATCTCGATTCGATATTATTAAAGTTTATCATTATCAATCCGATGAGCTTTCTAGCTTTGGATACTTGAGATATAATTTGCTCAGAAAAGATCAGACTTACATAGTTCAGATTATACAGTACTTCGGTTTGCGTTGAACAACTTTGAAAGGTCCTTCGTATGCTGATTCGAGAGGCCGTCGATGTGAGTCTCAACGAACGAAAACGTGTGTAAGTCGTAAGTCAGGTTGAACGAAAACATCAGTTGATTGCGGTCGAGTGGAGACAGGTTTAACTGAACGCATTGCGTTTGTAAGCCTGTTCGTGTAGGAGGTTAGATCCATGTTCATTGAAGAAGACGAAGGATCCACGGATTCTCCTGGAAGTCGAAGTGTTGTTCCATAAACCAGTTGAGCTTCAGCGTACCCAATGTCAGTTTTTCCTGCATTGCGAATACTTAGTAAGACGAGTGAAAGGGCGCCGGTCCACCGAGAAATATTTGCAGCTGATAGTGAAGCTTTTAGTTGTCGATGAAAGCGTTCTACTAGCTCGTATGCTTGTGGGTGGTGGGCGGTCGTTCGGAAACGAGTGATTCCTAATAGTGCGGTCAGACAAAGGAAACGTTCAGATTCAGATTGGCGTCTGCGATCTGTTGTGACGGTTGAAGGAGAGTCGAAGTTTGCTACCCATCGTTCGACGAAGGCGCAAGCCACTGTTTCGGCAGTAACGTCTGTAGGATACAAACTACGGTTTGGATGTTGAAGAACAGCCTTCCGTGACTTTAGACACGCGCCCTTTCCCGTCGAAATCAGAACAAGTAATCGGGTAACTAGCGGTTCTATAATTCATAATAAATTTAATGTAAATCATTACCTAAACAAATATTATCACCCGGCTATTCAACCAATGACTGTTCAATCAATTAAATCTAAATTAAAATAAATAAAGAAGTTGATAGAAGATGAGGAAAAATTACCAATCACAACAAATGAACGTTATTCTATCCTGACTGGATAGATCACATACAACAGGAGGAACAAATCAATATGGCTACCGCCAAGAACAAGTGTCAAGTAAAACAACGCAGATGCAGTTCAGGAAGAAACACAAACTTAGTGAATGCGTAATAAAAACAAAAACTATAACAAAAATACAAATATTAACAATTCAAATGTAATCAAAATACAACAATGTACAACTAATGTGATCAATAGGAATAAAGTACAAGTATATACATGGAGGGATTTTCACCAACACACAACACACTCAAATGGATCTTACAACGTCCTTGATAGGTTCTGCTTCTGGCCATCGATTGAAACGGTCCACGCAGGTTGGAAGGTAAGACTATCCATTTGAATCTAGTAAAGGTCCTACCAAATCAAGATGAAAATGGTCGAAACGAGCATCGGGAGTTTTAAATGAGCCTAAGGAACATTTATTATGTCTGATGACCTTAGATTTTTGGCAGCCTACACAGAAGCGTGCCCAGTCCCTCACGTCTTTATTCATGCCAGGTCAGCAAAACCGTTCTGCTATAAGCTTGATGGTTGCACGAACACATGGATGAGAAAGTTTGTGAGACGTATAGAAGACGTTGCATAGATAAAGTTTCGGTACGATTAGGCGATCCTTAACTATAGATGTATCACAGAGTAAGGTTTCCTTACCTATTCCCATCTGTTTGATGCGCAGCTTAAGGGCTGTTGAGGATAACTCGTGCTCAAGATCAGTGTCTTCTTTTTGAAGCTCGGCGAGTTTAAGAAGGTCGATTCCTTGAAAACTATTCAAGGAAGTTATGCGAGACAAGGCGTCCGCGACTACATTGTTTGCTCCAGAAATGTGTTGAATGTCTGAAGTAAACTGAGAAATTTGTCCAGTTGTCCAGACTCACGTGGTGAGTACTTGTCCGACTATGAACTTAAAGAAAAGGTAAGCGGCTTATGATCAGTAAAATGAGTGAAGTGTTGGTCCTAAATAGAGTGTTGAAAATGCCGTACAGCACAATATAAAGCTAGGAGTTCCCTACCGAAAGTGCTGTACCTCGATTCAGTGTCTAGCAACCATCTCGAGAAGAATGCCAAAGGTTGCCAGGAGTGGTTAACCCATTGTTGTAAGACTCCTCCGATTGCTGAGTCTGATGCGTGTACTGCGACATTAATGGGCGCTTGAGTGTCCTGATGTTGGAGCATCGTTGCCTTTGCTATGGGTTTATTAACTGTGGAGAATGCTTGTCGCGCAGTATCGTCCAGACTAATGGATTTCGCATTTCCGCGAAGTTGGTTGGTTAGCCGTTTCATAAGTGACGCGCATTTCGATATGAACCGTCTATGGAAACTTACAAGTCCGTTAAATGTGTGCACATGCCCAGTCGTGATCGGTTCCGGGTAATCCAGAATGGCCGCGACCTTTTTCCTAAGAGGTCGGATGCCTTGCGCATCAATAGTGTGTCCTGGGAAATTTAAGGAGTCAGCTCCGATTTGGCATTTCTGAATGTTTACCGTGATGCCATGTTTTTGTAGTCGTTCGAACACAAGATCCAGATGCTAGAGACGCGATTCGCTGTCCGGAATGGCTATTAAGCATTCATGAACATGCGCATGTACGAAGTTGAGGCGTCGAAAAACGTTATCTATGAACCTTTGGAAAGTTTGGGTAGCATTTCTTAGACCGAAAGGCATTCGCAAAAATTTGTAGAGTCCGAAGGGTGTTATAATAGCGGGTTTTTGGAATATTGTCAGTACCCATATGGAGTTGGTTATACCCTTTAACCAAGCCGATTTTCAAAAAGACAGTTGTACCTTTCAAGGTAGCTGTCAAATCGTGAATGTGAGGCAACGGGTAACGATCAAGAGTGGTTTTCGCATTCAATCGCCAATAGTCACCAGTTGGACGCTAATCGTTGCTGTCCTTTCTACGAACAATGTGCAATGAAGATGCCCATGGGCTGCTTGACGGTTGAATGATTCCTAACTCTATTATGTGATCGAATTCGCTTTAAGCCAACCTCAGCTTTTCGGGATCCAGTCGGCGTGCTTTCGAGAATACAGGAGGTCCTGTAGTCGTGATGTGATGCGTAACATTGCTGGTTACGCACGGAAATTTTGGTTGCAGTCGGTATCTCCCAGAATACGTATCGAGTAATGGTTTATAGGATGGGTCTATCGTGTGCCTGACTGTGACGGGAGATAATCTGCAACTAGAAAAAGAGGTTAAGCAAACAGATAAATTAGTGTTTCCGTCTACTAGCCTCCGTTTGCGCGTATCGATGATTAGATTGTGGTGTTGTAGGAGGTCTATACCAATGATTGGCATAGAAACACCTGCAACAACAAAGATCCAGTGAATGGATTTGCGTAAACCTACGTTAAGGTAAACGTACATTTTACCTTATGTAGCGATAGGCTTTCCGTTCGCTGCCTGTAGGTTTAAAACTGATTCATGAAGTCGGTCGTTAGGATTCCCTGGAATAACGTTAACTTCTGCGCCAGTATCGACGAGGGAGAGAACTTTCATTATCACATCTGTGACTCATAAACGACGGCTATGTCTGCCGGCTACGGTCGCCGTGAACGCGTGCCGGCTGAGTTGTTTGATGCTTTTCTTTGTCTGAAAATACCTCGGTAGTAGAAGATTTCGTTATTTCTAAAATACGATCGGCAGATGCAGCCAGTTCGTATAAGGCGTTGTTTTGAAACGAAACCAGTACCGCTTGCACCTGTAGGAGAAGTTTAGACAAGAAGAGTTGTTCGAATAGGCCTTCGTCGAAAGTTCTTGGGCCTATAACCTCTCTCATTTTTTGCAACATATCCGTCGCAGAACCGTGTTGCAGGTCGATGTTATTGAAGAGTTGATCTAAACTTTGTCGATCGGTTAGGTCTCCTCGTTTAAGAATCGAGCGTTTTAAGGTTTCGTAAGGTTCAGAAACATCACTAGTAAACATACTAGGTGTTACGTACCTGTTGAATTCCCGCGGTAGTGCCTCGACTACTGCGAGGAATTGTGCACGTGTGTCGTTCACGCCGTGCTCGTGGAAGTCGGCTTCTGCGTAACAGAACCAGGCTTCGATATTGTCGGGCCAGAAAGGCATGAGTTGGAACGAGGGTGGGGATATGGTTTTAATCTTAAATACTTTAGGAGTCATTTCGGTCATAGGGGAATATTAGGTACGAAAATACGAGGGACTAATATATAGATATTTTAAAACACGAGGAAAAAATATCACAATGTATAAAAAAATAAAAAATAAGGTAATAGTATATATAAATCCGAAAAAAGAACGGACTCACAGTCGCAATTAAGTGTACCAGATCACGTCGGGCTCACCAATGAAGATGACACTGGTATTCAGTGTTTGACAACGCTTCTACCAGTAACACCTTCTAATATAATTCGTTCCCACCCAGAGAAATCAAAAGACAGAGTCAAGGAGATCGGAAGAGTATATTTGGCGATTACCAATGTATCGGAATTCTCTGATCTAATCTGGCTAGCGATTGCGGTAGATGTTGAGCACGGTGTTACCACACGTGATCTGGTGCGGATGCCTGACCGAGCGCCTTCAGCTAAGTTAGTCCATTAAAACCAATGTGGCCAGCATCCAATGCCGAAAACTTACCGAGCTATTTATTTTGAGGATTTATTTACCGCTACAGCTGTGACCTTCAGAATCATGGTCTTTATCATTTCATATGTGTGTCTCATGAGTATTCTTTAGTAGATAGCAGATTTCCCTTGGTACAAATAAATATGTAAATCTATATTTATGCATGTATATATATATCCAAATATTATAACTTAATGACCCGTGAAAATGGCGATATGTAGATAGACATGCGAATATGACTTTCTCACTGTAGTGCTTTGTAATAAAAGTAGCTTTAACTTCAAAGTTCGGGATAAGTAACTGTTATTATCATTACTGATTTTAGAACACGTCAGTGTCCACGGCGAAGGAAAACTGCATGGATCTAATCACCATTGAGGTCACCACCTATGAGATTGACTCAGTTTGTAGAGTCCTTTGCTTTCCGTCTTTGTTTGTCATTTTGTACTACTGACTTGTTTGAAGTCACAAATATCATTAAGAGCACATGGACATTGGGCATTCGTCAAAGTTCCTATAATCCACAAATTAAAACTAATGGATTACGTTAGTGCCTAGTTCAAGGACTAAAGCTAGTACGTACCATTTATTCTCTAGGAATCAGTTGACAACTTGTTTTATGAATACCGATTAACTAAATTCATTAATTTTCAGATCTGGGAATCACGACGTTTTGACTGAATGACAAAAGGTTCGGTGTTCGTAAACAAGATTAATCCAATCAGTTATTGTAAAAAAACGGTCTCCAAGTTTCACTATTTCCATTTGAATAGAACTCATGTGGACTCCCCCAGTTAGTGATAATCCTACACCTTTCAACATTGAGCGAGAGCTGCTTCCTACAGTGATTTCAGAACCATCGTCCAAAACATCTAGTATATCTTCAACTACTAGCACTTTGGACCATGATTCTTTAAAGGAGAACTGCCTACAATATACTCCACAAAACGTCAGATACCAGCACTACCCAGTTCCGGTAATTAAAAGTACTTTGTTGTTCATGTGCCATCTTATGTATATGAAATATATTCACACAGTCAGTCAGCTACAACGTAGGACCAGGCACATATATGCATCGGTCCAAGTTACCATACCTCATTAGCACAACAAGATGAACACCAGATTCATAGGAGTGGTTAGGTCAATGGTGGTAATATATGAAAGGAAGATTGCGTATGAGGATGTAGTTCAGGAAGAAAGAATTAATTCGTTGAAAGAGAGATATGAAGTGATTTTAATCTCTTAGTTTAAAGGAAGACAGGGAGTGTATACACCTACGCCATTGTGATAGATTCTGAGCCATGTCACAGAGTCTACAACCGTCGGTTACAAAAGTCACGCGGACCCCAACCAAGTAGCCTGCATCTACCGACATGGCTCAGACCAGATGTTAGTGATATTCACACATGTTAGTTATCACTTCACTGTATTCTCGTCGACGTTTCCTATCCTTTGTTCTACGCACGATTTTTTATCTAATACTCACTGAGTTAATTGGTATCGACCCGAAGTTGAAATTTCCAGAATATCCTCCTAGGTACTAGTTACGAAGGTTATTTCACTTGTACAAAGAACTGTAATGGAGTCGATCTGCTTACCTTCTGTGATAATCGCTTTATTGATCGTCCATTTTAATACAGCTTATTAAACGATGATTATTACTGATTTATAGACGAACACGGTTGACTCCATCTATTAATTAATTATAACTAATAACCAGATACATCGATGTGTACATGGTTACCAAGTAATGGAAAGCTTGTCTAAATATTATTACATATATCTATAAATAATACATTAGAGTCATTCAGGTCTGGGATGACTTTCAGTTTAAGTTGCTACACCATGTCAACATACAGAAAGAAAAATCCGATAAGAAATAAAGAGAAAATTGACATCAGTGTAAAAATAAAAATAAGTATATTATAGGGACAGTAAATAAAATCAAAAGACAAAAATTACCAAGTAACTTTAAGCTCATAGTTTGGACTTGTACTATCAACAACATCACAGTTATTAAAGGTCATCAACTTAATTGTTTATGGAATGGGTTTATTTCACTAATTGTTTCATATTTTATGGATTCGGGTTTTCGTTGGTACAAGTTCTCTCCATTCTCAATTTTTCGACCTAAAACATGGATAGAAGCAGTCATTTAGGAACCCAAAAGTAAGTAATGGGTGGTGCTAATAGCAGCCTTAGTAACCAGCCCGTTTCCCTAAAATTTTATCATTTCGTGGACTGTATATTAGAATTCGTATAGCTTACCATGATTTTCTATTCATCAACTCAACTTGAACTTATCGATGCGAATATTACCTTTCAAAGTAAATTTTCGGAAAAACCATTCGATTACTTCATTCGTTGCTGAACTAGTTTATTTAGGTGTTTATACCTTTAGAGATTTGAATGTGGTTCAAATAGATATTAGTTAAAGCCTAGTAATTAAAGTTTTGTCTTTACCTGGCATATTTATGTTGCTTGCGTTAGAGTTCTGATGCCCGATATAGCTAGTAATACTAGTGGGAGTAAGTTGGCAATTAACAAAAGTTTGAGGGTGTAATACATGTGTTGTGCATACATCGATTTACCGGGTGCATATATTCTTATATCAGTGGTAAATATAGTCTGTTTAGTCCATTCTCTGATGACATGTAGTTGTGTGTAACCACTCTATTAATGAAAAACAATTTATCTCATATAGATGAGTAACTAATTTATAGCGTAGGTAGGTAGCTAATAATATCATCATCCCTTGTTTTAAGCTTTTAAAATTCCAGTTTTTGATAATGGACAAGCTTTATGTAAAGTGATCATCTCAAGAGCGGTTGATAAGAAGGGTATATTGTAAAAAAGTGTGTTGTGTAATTTTAATGTTTCAGTCTCTGGCCGAACATAAGACAAACCCAAATCCAATGAATCTAGCAAGTAATTACCACGGTTTTATGGGTAATATTACGCTTTTTTGGAAATAAAGTACAATTTAGAAGATACTACTTTGTGAAATATTGTTCTAAAAGAGTGCTAAAATACAAATTCAACATTGTTTTATTGGTTCAAGTAGATTTACTAAAAGCTCATTAAGTAGGAATAAAAATTAAGCTAGTTGACAATGCTATATTTACCACGTACTTTTACTACCAATCATATATAATATCTTTTAAACATTCTTTTCAGAAGGTTCGATGCTTATCGTTCCCATACCAAACACTTCCCTCCTGTGGGTCGACAGTGTATTTGTATACTTGGTCTCTCCCAAGGAATGACATAATAACTCAGCTATGTTCACTTGCCACAACATGTTTTCGAGACACAAACACAACTATCGGACTTTTGTTTTCTAAACAAATATCCAAAGTAATTATATGTGCATGAATATCTGTGAATTATTTGTGTATGTTTCGATCCTTTGACTAGGTATTTTATGGTACTTTATTCTGCTTGTCATCGTGATCGTGCAATTAGCAAGCTATGGTGGTTCTAGTTGGCTTCATAATTAAACCTGATTTTTCTAAGGTTTAGTTAACGAAAGAAGTAGTTCTTTATAGTCTTCACATTTACTATTTTAAGGTGATCTACTATATAATGTCTACTTTTAGCAAATGTTTAGTTGTCGATAGTTAGCTAGTTATGTGTCATAATCAAACCTCCGTATTGGTACGATTTAACATTGATACATAACTAGATGTTGCAAGACTTTTGTCCCTGAAATCAATGCCCATTCGTATGAGCCATTTAGTGAGGTTCAAGCTTCTTCGTTTGCTTCCAAAAGGTAATTATCATCAGTCGTAGTAATCTCAATAAATTTATTCTAGTTACGAATCTAGTCTTTGATCCACTTACTTTGTTTATCGCTTTTATCTCATCTGTTGTCCTCTAGCTTTTCTACCATTATTATTTTTTTCTTGGTTTTCTGCCTATTAAGTTTTTGCGATTTTAATATGATTTACAATAACTACAACCATCTTACATTGAAGGAAGTTCTGCACTGCTTATGTTTGTCTGTCAAACCAGAATATACTATTATTCCAGGAAGCTGGTCACTATAGGTTCTATTTATTCAAAAGACTAGTGACTTACTAAGTCAGTTACCAGGAATGACATTAATCTGTTTGGAGAAGGTAAAGATTATCCGCCAAATTAAACCTTACTAGTCTAAAATAAACCACTTCCATATGAATTCTACCTTATTAATTCATAGGTAAATATCGGCTTTCCAAATGCCCCCAAATACCCTGGTATGCCTGAGAATGGGGAGAGTCAGCTCTTCTCAAAATGCTCTCACATGGCGACGCGTATACGGCCTCTGCCAGGGAAGTCCTACTCACTGCCTTCTCGCGGCAGGGGTGTTGTTTACGAAGTTGAGAGGACGAAAATTGAATGTTCGGCGCTTTAGCCGGGTTGGTGGACACGGGGGATTCACCTAGAGGAGTTGGGAAACCATGATTCCAAACAAATGGCGCACATGGGCTCCAGGATCCTGAAGGAACAGACGGTGTGTGAACCAATTACTGGTAGCCGGCTACCATGGGACTGCATATCCTTACGTTGTTCCACTGCCTTGGGGATCAGATCTTTGGGTCGAAGGCTCCAGGCGTGGTCCCCTAAGAAGACCACCTGCTTCGGTCTGAGCACCCGGGTAGTATCACAGCCCACGTACAAATCAAGTGACTTGTGTGGCGCATATGTATTCGGTGCCCCTTTGTACCAACATTTATATGTTCAAATAAGTAAATGAATTTTCTGAGAAATTACTATCATTCAAACGAAGTCCAGTCTAAGTTTTTATACATATGATTTAGAGTACTCATTTTATTTCGAACTCACTGCTTATGGTTTACGTAATTCGTGGTAGAGATCATAAAGGTCTTCCCATATGTTTTATCATGTCGCTACTACGAGTTGATGTACTAATACCGAATAAGAGTTTGTGTAGATATTTCGGAAGTCATGTTCATAACATCCATTTTACACCCTGATAATTCCCACCATCTACAACCTTTTTTAAGTACAAAATTAAAACACAAGAATAGATTGATTGTTTCGGCATACATTTAATCGGGTACATTTCGTTTTGATCACCCCCTATTTTTACACTTAATGCACGAATAAACCAGCAACGATGTCACAAACTAATTACCTATCTGCTATTTTCATTTCGCTTTAGCGTTGACGAGTAATTGTTGGTCTGGACGCAATGTAGACGAAATGAGTAAGGTATTCATGCTACTGAAGTCGTGGTTTTAAGTTGACACTAATTGGGTTATATGAAATACACGTTTTATGTCTGACATAACTCACTCATTGTTTCCATCAGTTGTGAGCTATCGTTTTGTGATAAAAATTGTCTAACACAGACAGAGGTCAAACATCTTGGGCTCCGGGGTCAGGTTTTATAGATGTTAAACAAAACTGTTTACATTACACACCATTACACAGCTCACCCTTTGAGAGGTATCTTTATGGGACGAAATAGGCTGAGATTATCATAAAGCAAGCTCAGATTCATCTGTCACGCCACTATCAATATATATGTACTGTTTTCCTTACGCACGATTCGTCCTTTATTTTAGAGATACTGCTTGTTGGTTTGGGCATCACTGACCTGTGAATTCTAAGTTTGAACTCACGTAAATGATTTTTGAGCACTTAATCAGTATTATTAACCTACATAATTAGTATGGTTAACGTAGCTCTGATTTAAAAACTCATATATGGTTATCGAATCATATTCTGTTTCCTTTATTGACAATATTTCATCAAAAAAATCAAAAAGTTCTCAAAGGAAAGCTTATCAACAAATTTCCTATTTTCTCTCATTTTGAAATACCAATAGAAAGACTACGTTTGTCGAATTCCTATCTACCTAACTCGCGGTATGGCTCGTTCACGTGTTCGATTAACAGGGAAACTTACACTAAATAAGAAAGAATTAGAGTGTGTCGAATCAGCTCATCATGTTATAGCCGAATTAATTACAAATATTGCTCATATGTCTCATGTTGGTTATAAACCATCAGATCCTCTTCTCCGTGCTCATTTCGATAAACAAAACTCTTCAACGAATATCCCCGAATCTCTCCGCGTCGTACTTTTTGATCGATTTGGTGACTTATCATTCAATCCCGAGAAAGCAAATATCCTGTCATTGGTGACGCTGATTAGACTACCAGGTAAACCGTACAATCTGTTTAGTTATATGATACTTTTTAGAACTTCCGTGTCAGTGTTAGTTAGTACTAAAATGAATGTTGTTTAGGGTTTATAGAAATGCAATAAATATTATAATAAGTGGCGTGTTTGGATCAATAATTGTTTTAGCTATATACAATATAAAAAGGCTTCTGTAATGTAGTGGTGAAAAATCGTAGACGCTTACGTGCCGAAATAACTGGGCACAGGTGAGTGATAATAAGTAATGAGTTAAAATAAGTCAGTTTTTGGAATGAAATTGGAAAATGGTCGAAAAATGTTGCGGTGAAGAAATGAAAAGGAGTCTAATGTTATAAAAATAAGCTACGAACACAAACCAGGTTTCGTGGGTTCAATACCTGTAGCTTTAATGTTTCAACACATTGTTTCTTATTGTGATTTGATTTGCCGTATGATAGCTTACCTTAACTTTTACGGATAAGCCAGACAGTCATGAGATTTATTTGCATATTTGCTCCTGTGTGTTCTAATTGTGAAGAGATCTAGTCCTAGTTGTTATTTTTCCCAAACTTCTACCGTTTATTAAACTTTGTTGGTTCATGCGATTTGTTTTGATTTCATTATGTTCCGTGAATCCCCTGATTAGGAGCGTCATAATTGAAGGTTGTTGATTTATTATTCTAATAGTATCTGTATTTACCGATCTTCATTGTAGCCTTTGGATTGTTCCTGTTTTCTCTTGAATATAACGAATATATCTAGTGTATTTAAATCTCGAAACTTCCATGTTCCGCTTCTAAGCAAACATCTTTAACATTGCCTTTCCTATTCTTATCGATAACATCGTGAAGTTCGACTAAACGACCTTACTAATTTGCAAATTTCTACTGCTAAACTAAAATATGATTATAAACTAACTACTCTTTAGAGTTTTGTTGGCTGGGAGCACCATGTACGGCATTTCGCGTCCTTGGTATTACATTTAGTGCCACCTTCTTGTGTACATGTTATTCATGTATTTCGACTAGTTTCTGTCTCTGTGTAATTAAATTAATCTATCATACCTACCCATTTTCGTTACACTAACTTATTTTTATTTTTTATTTTTTTTTGAATGGGGATTTGTGGAGATGGTAATAATTTTGACAGTTTAATTCATAAGCTGATCTAAGCTAGATCACCATTGAAAGCCTGGAAGCACCGGATGGCTGTTTCGTCCTGGTCAGGGACTCCTCAGCAGCTTAGGTCGACTCACTAATTTAACTGTTAACATCACTACAATCTCCACGAATCCCTATTCTGATAACAATCATGTGCTCATTAGTGACTATCTTCAAGATGAATTTCCTGAAATTCTAATGAGAAGCCATGACCAGTTGTGTCCAATCTGTGTCGGGTGTAAAACGGTTGTCCATCAGTAGATGTAGGGTTGCACAAGATCATGGGTTGGTTGAAGTTCATGCGCAAGACCGAAGGTTCCGGGCTCGAGTCCCCCTTGCGGAATCGTGGATGTGCACTTCTGAGGGGTCCCATACCAGGACGAAACGACCGTCTGATGCTTCCAGGTTTTCACTGGTGATCTAGTTGAGATAGACTCACAAATTCAGCTGCTCAAATTCATTTATTTGTTAAGGTCTTATCAATGAATGCGAGTATCTCAGTGTTATGATTGTTAGGTAATATGTTTTCTTAGGGGGAATAATGTTACGTGGTTCTGATCTGTAGTAGATTCCGATCGTGCTAAAGTCTTTATCGTGTATGGTTAACATTTTATTGTGGTAGAGCGTTAAGGTAGTGGTATGGTTTTTTAAAGTGCGTAAGAAGATTAGGTTGGGAAAGACGTGTACAATTAATCTAATGTTTCTTGTCAACCACGGCTGATCGATCACAAATCAGAAATGATATTTCGCTTTTTGAACACAAACCTGACGATCAACGTTTTAATTATGTTTAATCGAAATCATAAAACGACCAATGTTAGACCATCATTGAAGACTTGGAAGGGCTGGACGATCGTTTCTTCCTAGTACGGCACCCCTCAGCAGTAAGCATCCACGATCGTGCACGCGAACGCTTGACCTCTAAACCACTGAGCCAGCGTCCTACAGTGTTAATGTTTAACTTCAATCAATCCACGATTTCAATTATGCTCCAATCAGGTGAATAAGACCCTACCTTTCACTGTGTAAGTGGCTAAGAATCTCTGTTAGTCGATCAACTTTCAGGGACACAGAAATCTCGTATGTTCATGAACTCTATTCGTGCTCTTCCATTTTTCTACCTTTACCAACTAATTTTTACACATTTCCAGTCACTGCTGTGTAGACGTTTACTTTCATCTTAAAATTACTAATCAACAGCATGTAGGTATCTGTTTTTCGTAGTTTAACCAAGAAGTGTCTCGTTCCTCTGGTCGTAAGTTAATGGTACGAAAATTCATAGGTCACATTTTAACATATTATGGTCAGATCTGGTTTCACTGCGACTTGAGACTGATTTATTTAGTTATTTCTTATTTGAAAACCTGAGTAGGATGTTTCGTTTATTTATTTATTTATTTGAACACATAAATGTTGGTACAAAGAGGGCACCGAATACATATGCGCCGCACAAGTCACTTGATTTGTACGTGGGCTGTGATACTACCCGGGTGCTCAGACCGAAGCAGGTGGTCTTCTTAGGGGACCACGCCTGGAGCCTTCGACCCAAAGATCTGATCCCCAAGGCAGTGGAACAACGTAAGGATATGCAGTCCCATGGTAGCCGGCTACCAGTAATTGGTTCACACACCGTCTGTTCCTTCAGGATCCTGGAGCCCATGTGCGCCATTTGTTTGGAATCATGGTTTCCCAACTCCTCTAGGTGAATCCCCCGTGTCCACCAACCCGGCTAAAGCGCCGAACATTCAATTTTCGTCCTCTCAACTTCGTAAACAACACCCCTGCCGCGAGAAGGCAGTGAGTAGGACTTCCCTGGCAGAGGCCGTATACGCGTCGCCATGTGAGAGCATTTTGAGAAGAGCTGACTCTCCTCATCCTCAGCCGTACCAAGAAATTTAGGGGCAGGATGTTTTTTACAATCTAACTGGTAGACTTATAGTTTTGTCGTTAGACGCAACCGAACCCATCTACTTCAATGCGATGTTAACCTATGTAAAAATAGTTTAGAAGAAGGCTAGTAGCGGTCAGACCAAAATGTGGCATCAGTCTATGAAGTCACTGACAATTGAACTGAGCCATGTAGGTAGGTATAGAATACATGGTCGTGACAGCGTGATTATCGTAACTAGTAGTTAGACACTTTGAATGTTGTTGGCAAAATCGTTTGCAAGGGCGCATATGGATTTACTCTTTGTCTTCCCCTAAGTTTCAGGTTTCTAAATTCCTCATAATCTTTTTATTTCACTAACTTACATTTTCTTCGTCTTTTTGTAGAGTCCATGTTTCCAAATTCCTCAACCATTTTCTGACTATTTGTGTTGTGTTTTCTTGAATCGTATCCTCCATGCCCAATTTTTTCCGTTACCACTGATACTATCTCAACTACCCTGGACTTTGTCCTTAAAATTTCATTTTGTTGCGTCACTGCGGTTCGGCGAATCGAACCGATGTACATAATTACCGAGTTCTACGTTTCGTTCGTTTGACTATTTGAAATTAGAATTCATACTAATAATCGCTTGGTTTTAAATCTCAAAAGGTGTTTTTTTCACTTAGGATTAAGAAGCAGCTTTTTCTGCGTTGTGTAATTTTAGCGGAATATGGATTGTGTTGGAGCACATTGATCAACCATTTCTTAGCTAATTAGCGCCAGCAGATACTTGGAGAAGGCTTCTTGTTTAAAATTCCAAATATGCTAACGTATTTCTTTTTATAGTTCTTACTCCCATTCTATCTTGTTTGTGTGAAATATAATTGCGTTCCTGTTCAACCGTGTTCTGGTTTGAGGACTTATCGAGTGAAGTAAAATGTTCTAATAACACTTAGCAATCAGAACAGCTGGGTCATAATTAAAGAGATCATAACGTGTATAATCAAAGATAATCTAATATACGTTTACCGGTTATTGAATATATGTTTTCATTAGTACGTTCTCACTACATGTATTGCATTTTATTCGTTTTATGTCCTTATCAGTTATAACCATATAAGATGCTCATTTTTGTCTGTGAAAATAGTCTCATTTGGTGGTCGTTTTATATTGTATTGATGGATAGTTAATTTTGGGTTAGACAAAATAAAGACAATGCACGGGAAACTGTTTTGTTTTCTACGAAATCGTATTCGTAGTTGCTTTACATGTAGTTGCCTACGATAAAAGCATCAGTTTACCTTTGATTTATCTGTTCATCAGATATCTATTGAAGAATATAGCTTATTGTTCATTTGAAGTCAATATTTTCCTCAGTTCCGATAATCGAGCTTTCCAGATTGTTTTGCACCTCAGCATGTATTCACCAGTTTACTTGTCCTTATGGAGCATGCTGTAGCGGGTCCACAAACTGTGCCCCTTCCAAGCGCTTATCCCGAAACTACCTAGCATAGCTATCCACAGGTAATTACAAATCGGCTATTATTTCCAAAAACTGGGGTTAATTTTGATTTGGTTATTTATTCTCTGATGAAGTAGCTTACACTAAGTCATGAAATGTCAGGAAACCTAATTTTTCTACTCATTGGGATATTACAAGTATATCATTTATTTATTATTTCCATTGTTGAAGATATGGTCATATACGTCCACCGGAATGTTCATATGCAATTATTCACTAAGTTTGAATAACTTGTTCTAAAGAAAGCTGGATGAAAAATCTATGCACAATAGAGGCTTTGGCAATTAATTAATTCAATCCTGGTCTTTGTGCTCAGAAGCGGTGTCCGATCTCCCATTTTACTGTAGTCCTAACATCTCTTATTTTATAAGTTGTTATTGATACATCTTTTTCTCTTTTTATTTGTTAAGTGGACAATTTCTCACATCTCCCTCTTAAATATTTCTATTCTTATTACACCGACTATTACGCAACTTTATCAGACACTTGGAATTTTTGGATAACTTTTGACACTTCAATCAATCACTTTATACCTTTCTGTTTTATTATAGACTGTTTTGCATAAAATAACCAGGAATACGGTTGTACAACTTTTGTAATCGATATCGTTGGAAAGCAGATTTTCTCCGAATTGTCTTTATTTTATACTAATATTGTCAAGATTAGAACGAATAGTTTGACAGAAATTGGGCGCCGAGTATAGAAAAGTCATTATATGTGAGAATTATATTTGAAATAATCTCAGCTATTATTACCCTGAAGAAGTCCAGACAAGTTAACTGGACGAAACGTCGGAATTATTTAAATTTCAATCACTGAGATTATTTGAAATATAATTTTCACATATAATGTCTTTATTTTGCTTAATTTCGGGCTCAAGATAGATGCTTATGAGTTAGAATAATAATTCCGATAGAACAAGTTGCCGTTAAATCTACATCGTAACCCTTGTTTCTGACATAACTATTAGAGATCATGACATTCAGTTTGTTCTCAACCTTAAATTGCAAATTACATGGTATATCTTATGATTGTGCAAGATACTTTTAAATGTTAATGCTGGATATATTTTATATACCTTATCATTTTAGATTATACTATCGATTATGAAGCACTCAACGCACTTCTAGAGTGGTCTGTTTGCCGAGATACTGGGATTTCAACAGCTGATGATAATTTGTCCACGTATGTTAAACCTGTACATGGTATTGTGCCTAAATGGCGAATTCGATTGAGTCAAATACCTGAAGACAATTGGGTTGGTTTGGTCGTCAAACCTAATCACTTACCGGATAGTGATCCTGGTATGTTTTCTATCTCAAAGGTTAGTTCGGAAACTGCTTCAAGTCCTCTTCCGGAAACCCTTGCTTCCAAACTTGGTGATGTTCAAAATATCAAAGGCGCTTCTTCTCTAACTTATTCCGACTACTATAGAATTAAATATCAACAGATGAGAAACATATCTTTCACAATAAATCCATCACTACCATTGTTTGAATGTCTGAGAATAACACGTCATCAAAATTCGACTCAAGTTAGTGCGGGTCTAAGGAAAAATAAAGCATCTATCAAACCATCAGTGTTCCTATCTGATGCTTGTTTAGTGCATCCATTGTCATCATGGATTTGGTTCCAAGTTTCCTTGATACCAACAATTCTCTACCAAATGTCACGAGCGTTACTAGCCTCACAACTGTTCACAGAGTTGAATTATGAACTGAAAAGTCCTCAACCATTCTCTCAAATTAGAATAAATTCATTAACTCTAAGCAATGATTCACTTTCTCATACAACCATACTTGTCCCTGATCGTTTAAGTGTTCCTGTTTTTTTGAATGGTGAACCAATGGAAAAAAATATCTTTGATTTTGAAGTGGATGAAACAACTTCAGAAATAGATAAACAATTGGATAATAAAGCCTATAGTGAAAGTTTAGAGAAATCTACAATTTGCCCTCACCCTAATAATCTAATTGAACCAACTACATTACTCGGAGCTCGAGATGCAGTAGATCTTGAACGCTTAGAATTTTATGGCGATTCATTCCTGCATTTTATATCTACATTATGTGTTTATGGCACCAATCCACAAGATGCTGACGAAGGGTGTTTAAGTTCCAAAAGAGGTTCACTTGTATCGAATGCTCATCTCTGCGATATTGCTTGCGACTTGAAATGGTATGAATATTGTACCGGTCAAACATTTTCTCCACCAGAACACTTTTTACCCCCATGCTACTCTGTTGCGTCCGAGGTTAGTGACAAACTAAGGTTTTTTCAGTGTTTCTTTACTTACGTCCCAAAAATTTCACTTATTTGTTCTTAATTTGCTTTATTGAATATAAATATATTCAATAAAGAACATTTTGCAGTTCTTTACTTCACCATATTATACAGCTTCCATTTTCTTATTTTCAAGTATTTTCATATATTATTTCCCGATTGGTACATAATGAAGTCTGTTATTTAGCCACATATTCTTTTTTTGTGTACTCTTACGTGTATCCCTTTAAACACACTCATGGATTTTTTAAATATAAATTTTATGTTAGGTGAATTGGGAAGTCGCATTCCATCACATTGAGCGTAGGCCCAGTTATATTTACATTTTAACAAACAGGACAATTGAAACCTTTGACAGTGAGGAAATAGAACTCAACCTTTAATTAGTTATCTTCTTAATTTCCTTAGTCTCATCTATCAACTTCACTTGATTGCCCTCTGTAGTTGAATTTCTATCAAAAATAATACTCGAAATAATTTTATTTGGTACGGGTAAAGTTTCTTCTCATTTGTTCAGGAAGTTTTAGGATCTTCATAAAACAGACTTTGAAGTATATCAACTGTTAGTCAGACCAGGTTATAGTCCGGTTTGAATAAATCAGCGAATAATAATAGTTACGCCTATTCACTGATACAACTATTTGTGACTGGGAATCGTTCATAGTGCAGTTAAAAAACATAAACCATGTTTCAGTTATGATTGAACACTACTTTCTTTTCGGTACTTTTCATATTTTACTCTCAGTAAAACTCTCCTGTTGTTACGTTAAACTTTTTGAGTACAAGTCATCCAAGAATAAGTTTATATGCATTCGAATCAGTGTTTTATGTGTATTCGACGATAACTACCACCGTTGATTTGCCCTTTAGCAATTATGGTAGGTCTTACCATATGTGTATGCTTCTTGGGACCGGTTTCGGTTCACAAGACGTTGCTTTAAAATGTATTTGCCTAGATAAAATTGGCACGATATGTATTAGAAATAAATCTGTGGGTCTAAAATTTAGTAAAAAGCACTTCAAACTTCATTTATTTATTTGATGTTAAAAAATTGATGGATAGATTATTGGACCTCATTACTAGAGTAAATCATAATTCAGCAACTTTTTTAGGTAGCTGACCATATTGTCTCTCGTTCAGATAGCTGATCATCAACATGCTTATTTGATCAAGATACTTTCTTTTATTTCCGTGTTTGTATTAACATAAACGTAGATCAGTCATATTCACGTAGTGTTAATTTCATCTGATTTTTCTAATCCGTCAGCACCGAGTTTGACTATTCATTAGATAAATGCTCAGTAATTTAACATGGAAATAATATTTTCTTTTTCATGCGAACATTCTCAGAAACATTCATTGTTAACATTGTTCCAGTTTATATAAGTTGATTTAAGTCTAGAATAAGGACAATGGGGAGATGCTTTTAATATGAAGTGGATGTAAAACGGTTGTATGGATCAACGATGAATGCACAACAGCACTTCGACGATGATAATCACATGAGGCTGAGAATTGAGAAAGCAAAATTTTTTAAAACTTTAAGGCAGTTATGCAAGTAAACATTACAGTGTGTATATTATTGTAAAAGTAGCCAATTAGAATAAGTGTGGATTACATGGTATTGCTGCATTACAAAGGTCAAAGTAATATTAAGTGTGAAAAGAAGAAACTAATATTTGTTGTGGTTATACCACAATGCCACAACAATTATGATATAGTTCACTTGGTATTATTTTACTTGAATCTTCCCATTGATGTTTTAGGACTGAAATTTATCAGTCTCTTATTGGCATATGTTCATACCGTGCGTATGTCTCGATATTGCCTTAATTTACAAGCATTATAAGCAAAGATGGATAGTGGCTAGCAGTGGAATCCAGGACGCGCGTTTCGTCCTGTTTGGAACTCGTCAGCTTGCAAATTAAGGCAATATCGAGACATACGCACAGTGTGAACATATGCCAATAAGAGACTGATCAATTTCATTCTTAAAACATCAATGGGAAGATTCAAGTAAAATAATACCAAGTGAGTTAAACTTCACTCCCATTGCACAAGCAAGTGGCTATCAGGACTCAGTAACTAAGTGGATAACGCGATGGCGTTTAAAGCGAACGGTACTGAGTTCGAGTCCCAGAGTGAAAATCAACTCTGAGATGCAGGTACATCCAGCTGACGAGTCCCAAAAAGGATGAAACGCGCGGCCTGGATTCCACTGCTAGCCACTATCCATCTTTGCTTAATTATGATATGAGTTGACCATGACAGATTGTGTAAATGTACCTCCGTTACCATGCAAAGATGATTTGTATGAATGACTAGAAGTCATACCTTTTCTTTAAGTAATGGTGGAACTACCTAGCTGGTTGATTTAAAAATAAAAGAGGTGTGGTTCAAACCCTCAAACAAACAGTTGAAGCTCATGTATGTTAACTAATAGGTCATCACTGTAAACAAAGATATCAACTTGACCAATGTGTTTTGCCGTTCGATTCATAAGGCATACTCAACTTACTATGAAAAAGAGTAGACTAAACTTTGTAAGGAAGTTCCCGAACCGAATAACAATGCACATAATTCATGAGTGTATTTGCGATTATTCTTCTAACTTTGAATACATGGATACATGGACTGAGACTTTGAATATGGACATAAACGATTTCCTACAACACCGTGTTTTAGAATTTCTTATCTACCATTGAACTTCAAAATGGCATGTGAAAAAAGGCACGTGATATACCTAGACTCACCCAGCCTATCGTTTGATAGATATAGTCAATCGACAATACACTTTTCACCTTCAATGTGACAACGACGCTGGTTACTCAGAGCACATTTGACCAGTTAATATTGATTAATTTCCTACCATTTAATTATTTTGTGTATTTTTCCTTTATAGGCTAGTAAATATGATCCACGTCTGTATACTCGTTTAACAGATAAATCTTTGGCAGATATGATTGAAGCACTTATAGGATGTTTCTTACTACGTTCAGGACTATCTGCTGCATTTAATTTACTTCATTATTTTCAAATATGTCCAGTTAGTTGGAGCACCCTAAAAAGTGATAAGCATTACAAAGTTGAAGCTCCATGGCACTTTTTTTTACAACCAAAATTATATTCAGAACTAAACTATGGAAATGCTTTCAATCCTTCATCTAGATCCTTACATATTTCGAAGGAAATTATACTGGAATTAAATCAGAGGTTTTTTCAGTTACAAGAAAAACTAGGTTATGGTTTTAAAAAAATCGAATTGCTTGCGGAAGCTGTGACTCATCAGTCATCATCTAATAGACAATATTGGGGGAATTATCAAAGGTACGATGAGTTACATAAGCTACAACTATCCCTACATAATTTAATGTATAGTTTCACATAACATGATTTGGCAAATTGTTTGAAGCATCTCATTTTCACATTATATATGTATAATTTTTAAATTGTATAAAATTTACATTCAAATGAACTACACAGAACCTTTATTTAGACGATTATTTATGTTTCATTCGTTCAAATTGATTAGTTAAGTTTGTGCTTATCGTAACTATACTTAGGATTAAAGTTCTACGTAAGAATTTGAACTATCATAGACATTTCTCTCACAGGATAAGCATAAAAATATATTGACTGATCAAATCATAATATTGAATCCATCCGAGCTTTTTTAATTTAGTATAGTATGTATCAAATAATAATGCGTTAGAAAAAAGACAATAAAATACCCGGCAAACGCAAGTTTAGTGAAAGTCTAATCACTAGTTAAATTGAAATTTTAAAAAATGAAATTTTTTAGTAGACAACTGTTTTCAATAACTTTATCATCAGTCTCTACAGTTATAAGTCCATAATTATCGTGATATTTTACAAAGGTCAAAATAAGGCATGTATTAATGAATTTGACAATATTATGTGTTAAAATTGGTGAACGTTTGCATCTGTTACGACATATATACTTCGAAATTGTGTTATTTGCAAATTACAAAGGTCATATGATAAGGGTCAAATGATTCAGAATAGTGTCAAGTCACAATCAGTGTAATAGTAATATAACAAGAAGGAAAATGAAAAAGAATTGTGTGAATAAATGCATATTGAAATCTCAAAAAATAAAATACTTGTTCTTTTGAAGCTTCTGATTGTTCATTATGTGCGTGAATATTTGCTTCTTAAAGTTTTTTTTAACGATATCTATACAATTCACTGAAATGTCACAAGTGTTATCGTATTGCAAATATTTTTGTTATCGTGGATTGTTTATCGTTTGCAGGGAAAACGAATTTACTGCATTTTAATTCAAACCGTACTTTGTAGAGAGACGGAAAAAATATGACAAGTCTGCAATAATACTGTAGATCATTAATAAATATTACTTCATACGAGTACACCACTCTTTATTATAATTTGTATTCGATATATTCAACTATTAGAATCAGTTTTTAGTTCTAAGACGATTTGTATAGTAGCTTCAAACCCACTCAGGATTACTTTTGTCTGAACCAGTTTAACGCTCAATTCTTATTCAATATCCTATAAATTACTTTGCACTAGCACAGACGACTCATCCTCAATATGTGTTAAGTGTATATACACGTGAATATATGTCTGTTTGCTGATCTGCATATTGTACCAAAGTATTGATATATAAACTCTATCCAAAACCGACATACTGATTAGACAATAAGTAAGATCTAAAGTTAATCCATTCTTTCACCATCATATGTCTATTAATATGTATCCCTGAAATATAACATTCCCAAAGCATTTCTTATTATTTCATTGTGAAGTGAACTTTTTACAGAAAAGGATAAGAAAATGTACAAAATTGATCAGGGGTCGAGTACGAATAAATTCAGATATGTTCACTAAATATGATATAATTTGCTACATTTGTAAGTTTACATTTGGTAAGGTAAACAACCGCAGCAGAAAAATAAAGTACATGTAATTACAGAGAGAAAAAGTCTATTATTTTTTAAAAGTGAAACTGTACCGTCCTGTTTCTTGAATAAATTATTCATTCTTTTTTTTCGATTTCACGCAACGGTATTTTTAAATTTCACCATTTAGTTAGTTTGTTTGATATTGAACCATGATGTTTTTCCTTACAAACATAATTTTACTTAGGTTTTGATGACTTTTCATTTTCGTTATTTTATATATTTTAGATTTTATGCTTATTATTATTTTTTTATTATTGTTACTACTCTTCACTTGACATACTATCGTCAAATGGTTGTCCTTTTAAAAAAAATTTATCGCATCAAAGGTTAGAATTTCTTGGCGATTCCATTTTGGGCCATATTATCAGCAACTATCTGTTTCAAAAATGTCCTCACTCATCCCCAGGTTAGCTTATTTTAAACTATTTATTTTCACTTCAGATGTAAATGTGACGAAAAGTTTCAAAAATATTTTCAATATATAACTAAACGTGTAAAACTATTCCAGAAAAACGAGAGTTTAGATTCATCATAGATTTACTAATAAAACCTTTCCTTAAAATCGTACACGGCAATTTATATGATGGTCAAAGATTAAGCCTGATTGCCCCGACCGTTGTTGCTACCTTGACGTAGTGGTCGGGCTTGTCTATCGTGATGAAGCGATCGAGCTATACTGGCTGGAACAACTGTTCCTCAAGGTCCTACCATGTCAGACAGGTCGGTTGAAGAGCGGTAAGACTAAAAGCAACAAACCCAAGGTCCGAAGGCAAAGTCGTACTGCTGACTGTACAGAGGTGTGACAGCAGTAAGGTGTTTCCCTTGGACAACCAGCATGACAGCGATGCTGCCTTCCCACAAGGAGGGGTGGGGTTAGAAAAGGTCGACCCTAAAAGTGCACACCTCGCCTTATCCCACGGATATTCGTCTCCGGCGGTAAGGTCTCAACAAGTACGGAGCTAATACAAAAGTTACCCATAGAAAGGTCGTGTGTGACCGACCTCAAGCAGTTGTCCCTTGGGCACTGCGGTCACGCTCCCGAGTCACTAAGACCACCCCGAATCCAATTTACTTTTCAGGTACCTCCAGAACAACCCTTCCACGGTGTGGGCAACCGGGAAGTGGTAACCGCCCTCATACCTCTAACAGCACTCAAGACCACTGTATTCATAATCAACCTCCGTCTTCACTTTCTATTATTCCTCCTACATCGACTTTCATTTCTAAATTTCCTCTTTCAGCTTCCTCCTCAAGTGTCTCCATAGCCAACAATTCTAGTGCTCAAAATACTGTCCCAGGTCTACTGAAACCTCACTGCAAAACTACACATTGGAGCCTTCAACGTACGCACCCTATGCCAAATCGGTCAACAGGCTTCCTTCGCTAGAACCCTAGAATCTCGTACCATTGGTGTATGCTGTGTCTCTGAAACACGCATACAGGATCCCAGTGTGGTCATTCACTTGACCTCACCTCGACAAAACGGAGAGGAAACGAGACACACCCTCCGTGTATCTGGTGACCCGATGGCCAGTTCTCGTGGACTGGCAGGTGTAGACATGGCACTAAGCATGAGGGCGGAACAAGCACTGCTAGAGTGGATCCCCGTCAACAATCGTCTATGTGCTGTTCGGCTAAACGGCTCCGTAAGAACTCGGAAGGATAGGGACACACGTCGTTGCCTTTTTATCGTTTCTGCCTACGCTCCCACCGACTGCAGCTCAGATGAAGTGAAAGATGAATTTTACAGAAAGCTATCTGAACTTCTTCAGAAAGCTAAACGTTCAGACATAGTACTCGTAGCAGGTGACTTTAATGCCCAGATAGGCAGTTTAAACCAAACAGAAAGGCATTTAGGTGGGTATTTCAGTATTCCGGTTCAGCGAACAGATAATGGTGATCGTCTGCTGCAACTGTGCTCAGACAATCGTTTATTTTTAGCAAACACAAATTTTAAGCATAAGGAGAGACATCGTCTAACATGGCGACCCTCTACACCAAACCAACGATGGACTCAAATAGACCATATTGCAACCAGTCACCGTTGGAGAGGGTCGGTAGAAGATTGTCGCTCATTCTGGAGTACCTGCTTGTACTCCGACCATGCCCTAATACGGGCACGCATCTGCTTGCGCCTCACTGGACGCAAAAAAGCCTCAGTAAAAAGACCCATTAGAACTGAATTGAGTAGCGAGAAAACCAAAAGTAGGTTCCAGGAACAACTGAGGTCACAATCAGGTAGTTCTGAAAACGAGGTTGACCCAGATGTTGCTTGGAAAGCTATACAAACAGCAGTGACATCTATCAGTGATTTAAACCACAGGGTTACAAAGAACCAATAGATTTCCTCTAGGTCTATTGCACTGATGGATTCTCGTAAACTCATCCCATCAGGCTCTGAACACGATGAAGAGCAACAACAAATCAGATCTAGGTTAACCAAAAGTCTAAGGAACGACCGTGAGAATTGGTGGGCAACGAAAGCAAAAGAGATGGAAAGGGTGGCGGCTATAGGGGACACAAGACAGCTCTACAGACTAATAAAAGAAACTGGAATTAATAAATCAAGTGTAAGTCAGACTATTTCGGAAAAAGACGACACCCTCTTCTGCTCTCGGTCCAGACGTTCAGAACGATGGGCGGAACATTTCAGAGAACAGTTCAACTGGCCTTCAGCTACTCTACAACTACCCTCCATTCCCAGACAGTGTGAATGGAACATTGAAGTAGGTTCCCCAACTCTAGCAGAAGTTCAAAAGGCTATAGCTAATCTGAAACGAGAAAGGGCAGCTGGTCCAAATGGATTGGCTCCAGAAGTCTTTAAGGATGGTGGTCCAATTTTAGCGATTAGGCATACTTATCGGCGTCCGACAATAGCAGTCTTTCTTGACTTAAAAGCAGCATTTGACTCTGTAGACCGCGAGATTCTATGGCAGTGTCTGTCATTGAAAGGCGTACCTCAGAAGTACATAAACCTTGTGAAGGCTCTTCACTCGAACACTACCAGTCGAGTCAGAGCTTATGACGAACTGTCATCTGCTTTTGCAACCTCAAGTGGTGTCCGTCAAGGCTGTCCACTTTCTCCATTTTTGTTTAACTTCATCATAGACCTATTGATGTAAATAACATCCTCGTCTACTGAATTCTCGGGTATTGATCTCCTACCAGGAGGTCCACTTATCGACTTAGAATACGCAGATGATATAGTCCTGTTTGGTGAAGACGTTGATAAAATGCTGAGTCTTCTGGTAGCACTAAGCAACAATGCTAGAATGTTTGAAATGCGCTTCTCTCCCTCTAAATGCAAGTTGTTGCTTCAGGACTGGTCTGCGTCAACACCTGAACTAAGGATAGGGAGTGAAGTAGTCGAACGCGTTGACAACTTCACTTATCTTGGAAGTCTGATCAGCCCTAATGAGTTGGTGTTTGATGAAATCCCAGCACGCATTCGAAAAGCTCGCTTGGCTGTTGCCAACTTACGTCACCTATGGCGAAGGCGAGATATCCGTCTATCAATAAAAGGATGAGTATTCTGCGCGGCAGTCCGTTCTGTTTTAATTTACGGCTGCGAAACATGGTCATTAAGAGTAGAAGACACTCGTAAGCTACTAGTATTTGACCACAGATGCCTCAGAAATATTGCTGGCGTCTGCTGGGATCACCGGGTAAGTAATAGTGAGGTTAGAGGCAGGGTATTAGGGAATGATGGTAAATCAGTTTATGAGGTTGTGAATCTTCATCGACTGAGATGGTTGAGTCACGTGTTACGTATGCCGATTACCACGACGCTCAATTCTGACTAATAGTAGTAATAGTAATAATAATGATGTGAATCGTTGACTGTTAAATTAAGCAAGACAAGCATTTTCCATAAATATCGACATTTCATCGTATTTGTGTGCGGGCTGTAATACTGCCCGGGTACCCAGACCGAAGCAGGCGGTTTTCATGGGGGGCCACACCCCGAGCATTTGACCTAAAGGTCTAACCCACAAGGCAGTGGAGCATCGTGAGGAGATGCAGTCCCATGGTAGCCGGTGACCAAGATTGGTTCATACGCCATTTGTTCCTGCAGGATATTGGAGCCCATGTGCATCATTGCTTTGGGATCCGGTTAAAGCGCCGGACATCTGCTTTTCGCCCTCTCATTTTCATAGACAACACCCCCGCCACGAGGAGGCAGTGAGTAGGACTTCCCTGGCAGAGGCTGTATACGCGTGGCTGTGTGAGAGCATTTCGAGAGGAAGGGTGTGCCCACCCCACTCTCGGCCATACCAGGGCATTTGGGGTCTCCTCCTCAGCAGTTATCTACTTTCAGTATTTTGCGATACGTTTGATTCCAAATGTGATATGTTTTTACATAGTCACAGTTGATTGTATGTAAGCATTTTTCAATACACATTATCTATTGGTTCAATGTCAATGTGTGATATCATTTTAGCCTGTCAAGTTTTAGTAGTTTTTAATTCATTAATGTTAAGTATTTGTTATTATACTATTTGGTATCAATTAAATATTATCTAAAAATTACTTTATTAGAATAGTAAAAATAATTGTATCACTGTGTTGCTCTTGAAGAATCAGTGTATTTAAGAAAATATCGTTTTGTTATTGTTAGTTGTTCATTGTAAATATCATTGTCAAGAGCTAAACTAGTATTTATAAAAAATAGTGACAGAATTCTGATCAGGGAACTGGCTAGATCAGCGTTAGGTGGTTGATATTATTATTATCTAGTCACATAGACTAGTCGCCATACAGCAACTTGATCGTTAGAAACTCATTGGCCTAATGAATAGACAGAAGTGACACCATTAACTACTCAGGGACCAATCACCACAACTAACTGGGTTGTTTGAAAAACGGGGCTCCGACATCCTGGAATGTAGCCGTCCTCCTTACCATCTTTTAAAAGGGCCTGCATAATCCATAAAATAGCCATCTGGGGTTGTCCAGTTTCGATTGAATTCAAATTACTGACTTCCGTCATACTGCGTAGACATTTAAAAACGGATTCAAGGGCAGACGGGTTTTCGTTCAGTTTTTAGATACATTGAGGATATCTTTGCCTTCCATCAACTGTTAGAATGCCGTCATACTTATTGCAGGCCAACAATTGTACTGCTTCTTTGATATCAGAACTATCTTCGATTCATTGAACAGAGTTGTGCTCTGGAATTGTCGGTTGGAGAAGAATGTACTCGAGAAGTTTATTAACATCTTGAAAACTCTGTATACAAGCACCTCAGTCAGAATGAGGAAATACAACCACCTCTCATCATTTACCTATTCAAGCATCGGGGTTAAGCAACTTTGCTCAGTCTCATCATTACAGTCCAACTTTTCCACTGACTACATTCTGGAAACAGCTGTGATGTAGGTAATGGTGGTATAGGCGAAGGACTCTTTGATCTTGAGTATGTCAATACTTTACTACTTTAGTCCATCTTTGAAGCTGTCGTGATGTTAATATACGTGTAAAAGGTAGGGTTTACACTGTCTGGCCCCTGCGAACTAAGGATGTTTGATGATTCTCTGTGTTTGATCGTCATTGCATCCGACGGAACGTTCACATCTGGCGACAAAATTATTTTAGTGATGTTGAGGTTAATTATAATTTATTTGTTACTCCCCGTTATTGTTTGTCATTCGAAACTTGGCTTTGATTTGTTTCGATAAATTATTGAAGCTGTTGAAAAACATTTTTAGTCAAATAATGTGTAGTTTTTCTGCTTGTGCAACTGGAAAAGCGAAAAATGAACTTCATCGTTGAGCCATCTAGTTGCATTTGAATATAAATCATAATTAGTTTTCTAACATTGTTATATTAATAGAAATCAACAATAATTATATATGTTCTCTTCCAGGTGCATTGACCACCGCACGATCTACTGTTGTCAGTAATATTAATTTAGCTAATGTTGTTGTTGAGCATGAAATCCACCCGTTCATCGATTTTGGGAATTGCAGTCAGAAAGCATGCATTGATGATATAAAAAGTATTCATCGTCAAACTGATTCACATTTTGAACGTATTGAGGTAGACTACTACATCTCTTTTATAGTTTAATACTTTTTGCGTAATAAAATCAATATTGTTCGCTGAGTTTATTTTATAACAAATTATGTAGATGGCTTAAATGTTGCCTAGTATTCTTAGTACATTCTATTGTGGGATCATTTATTTCCTATATTAATTGAGTTGGTACAGTCATTGGATGCTAATTACCTATTTTTAGAAATCAGTTAATAAATTTCGACAATGTAATAAGAAGACGAAGATTATCAGAACTATGTGATATATTAGCGCAATTCATTTCGAACAATCTGATCACACATATACTTGTTAAGAACATTTATATATAGAAATAAAAGGTCAACTAGACTGGAAATGGGAGTAAGAAGAGACAAGGATAATAATAAGAGTAATAATAATGTGAACACTAATTGAAACCTAATCACTCTGGCTATTATCAGGGTAATATTGGCTTATTATCCAGTGATTAGGTTTCAAGTTGTGTTCACATTATTATTATTACTCTTATTGCTATTATCCTTGTCTCTTCTTACCCCTATTTCCAGTCTAGTTGACCTTTTATTTTTATTTATAAATGTTCTTAACAAGTATATGTGTGATCAGATTGTTCGAAATGTGCCACCAGCAGGAGAACTGTTTAGATCCAGGGAGCACTAGATTTTTGTTTTAGTCTAGGTTGGAACTCCTCAGAAGTATGGAACTGGCGATCCTTAGGTGATCTCAAACTGTGACGTAAAACAACTTTGTGTCATTGTAAACTGTTGAATTAATACTACGACTAGTTGTAGTTGGCTATTCGATTAACCCGTTGTTGATATTTTGACTGAAATTTGGTTGGCATGTGTGGATCCTGTGCGAATCGGCTCTGAAAAGTCCCAAATATGACGAAACTCTCGTTCTAGATTCCACTGCAAGCCACATTCCATCTATTCTATACTAACTTGTGATTAGTAATGTTTATATTCCACATCTAATTTTTTCCCTTATTGGCTTCATAATAGTGACACTGATATCAACAATACGAATGCATTCATTCTTTGCCTTTCTATAAGTGTTGGGCGCAGTATTACTTCTTAATTATATTCACTTTTTTCTCTTTTTTTATTTCAAATTACTATTAATCTTTTGATCTTTATTTCCTTAGTTGTCTGTTTTTATTGACTTTTGTTAAAATTTTATCCTCTCAAAATGGATTTTGATTTTTTTCCAACGTAAATGTCTTCCATTCACTCACCAAGTTTTAAATAGAAGTTATATTTATCTGTTTGACTATGTTTTGAACCATTAAATGGATGGTATGTATTTACTAAGACCTATGGATTAAGGTTTATGTGTGCATCGATTAGGTTTATTTTGATTTAGTTTTTTGACTTAATAGAAGTGTTATTTTGAAAATCCATATTTGCTCTATAACTATTTATTTAGATGCTCTGAACGTGTTTATGTTCCACAATTTTAGTTAATTACAAAGAAGGTTTCTTCGGGGCTCAATATCAAGGTATTGGCTGATGTGTTTGAATCGATTCTCGGTGCAATTTTTGTAGACAGTGATGGTAATCATCAAGTCGTTTCTTCTATTATTCATCGATTCTTGGGTAAAACGATGAGTACGTTTTTCCTTATTAAAAATTCACGACTGTATTGGGTATCTTCGAAATGCTACTGATTTTTGAACCCTTTCTTGTTACTCTCTTACCTTTATTTTCACCTATAAATGCATGTGCATGTGTGTTAGTTATTTTAGATAACTTCATGTAGTCGAATTATAATGAAATTTATTTCCAGATTGTTGACACTCTTCAAGATTCACTTGCATACTTGAAGAAATAGATCCTGTTTCATAGTTTTCGGTTGTATGAATAAATTACCGACTCGACATATCTCAATGTTATTCATTATTGTTCGAAAAATTCTGAAGCTTCAAAGTCAGTCAACATTTTCCTAGAAATAGCACTTTCATACTTACCTACTGTTCCTTACTAGTGGAGTATCGAACGGATTACGACTACAGTTATCTGCAGAAACCTCTAGGACTTCAGGTTCACTAGTTATGATGAGACATATCATAATAATAAACGAATGTCATTGTGGTGTACGCTACGTAGTATGTAACACAAATCGGAAGTGGAAGGATAGGACGGGAAAATAGAAAGGAATTGTCAACTGGAAGAAACATGCAGAATGTGAAGGACAAATGATAGAAATTTGCAAACGAAGTATTCAGCATATGGTTCTTACATTTTACAGTGATACTTCGCAATTTCGTATTTCAGAAAATCAATCTGTTGTTCGCACATGTGTTCTCGTTCATTACAACATCACATTCCTAAATTCCTTTTAAACCCAGTTTCTTGAACAAAGTAAGCTGGATGGTATGAAAATCAACTCGTGTTGTCTATCCGAGAACCGTAAACTATTACAAAATCACTCCCCAGCTTTTCTTAAGTTAGTGACCCACTAAGCCTCAGAGAAGAGGCTGTACTAGTCTACTGAATCGTCATTGCCAGTTGATTACATGCTGTTATGTAAGAATGCTACGTCAAAGTGGGATTTAGGAAACAATGTTCTTTGCTCACCCCTCTCTATGCCCGAATTGATTTCAAGGATGAGTTTAGCACCAATTAAATGGTCTAAAGAAAACCCGTTTGGTAAACATTGTAATGATAGCTGGAGATTACAATGTGCAAGTTGGGTTTCTATGTACTTAGGAGTCATTTGGGTGTCTAAACAGGATTTGTTGGTTTTAGGTCAAATAACGGTGACCGCCCCCTGAAATTTGAGTAGATCACAATCTACTTTCGACCAGAACCAACTTTTGGCACAGTCATCACCAGTGTATTACCTGGTATCCTCCCCTTGCATCTCAAGCCTGGACCCAGATTGGCCACATCGCGATTAGCTGCTGCTGGCGTGCTTGTGTACAAGACTTCTGCTCCCTGTGGAATATTTATCTGGACTCTGATCATGGTCTCGTTCGAGCTAACTTTATCTTACGTTTCAGTGGCCGACAACTTCATCGCCATAAATGGATCGATGTTATCAAATTAGCTGCACTTTTTGTTGTAGCTAAACATCAAGCCGAACTAGGTTCAAGACTATCAACTCACCGAAAAGTGTAGATGAGCATTGGCTACAATTGCATGACGCCATAAAAGTTGCGAGTAAAGTCGCTTGCGGCTTTGCGAAACGTCCCACTTAGAAGGACTTGGCTTTTACAGGCTCCGTACAACTCATTGAAGCACGTCAGTTCACTACAGCCAACCACGAGTTTGATCATAAACGGAGATTGTTACGTAATGAAAATGTGAAAAGTTTGCGTAAGGACCGAGAAGCCTGGTAGTTGGAGAGTGCTAACGAGTTGGAAGCAGCAGCTCCATTTGACAAATGCCGGATGTTCTTTCAATTCATTCAAGTCACTAGCAGAAAGATGTCTGGTGTGGGTGGAACCTGTTGTAACGTCAACAAAAATCACCAGGCCCAGACGATTTGCTTCCAGGCCTTTTTATAGACGGCGAGGAACTTTCGGTTCGAGACCTGTGTTGTTTGAAAATATTTGATCGACAGTGTTACATCATGACAGAATGAAATGGTAGCTAACTGTATTTTTGAAAAGATTGTTCGTCATCTATGCAACAATTATCGGAGTAAGTCTACTTCTGATCGTATCGAGACCATTGGTTTCTGTCGTACATCATAGATTGTTTAAATCTGGGGAACGATTGACTTGTGAGAAGCAGACTGGTTTTCGTCCAGTTTTTTGATGTGTTGATCACACCTTCACTCTTCGCCATATAGTTTATCAGAAAATGGTTCAAAATAAAAGTCAATGGCGATCATGTTGTAACTTTCTTTTGCTTTCTTCATGAAAGTGAGCTTAACTTATTTAACTGGGACAATTCTGGTTGTATTTTTCCCACCATAATAATAATAATAATAATAATAATAATAATAATAATAATAATAATAATAATTTAACCATCATACATTAATTTCTATTCATTTCTGTTCTTATTTTTTATTATACTCACTTTTCTTTCTCCATCTCTTCATAACCTCACTTTTATCGTGCCACATATATATTTGATGCCTATTTGTGCCAATGTTTATATGTCCAAATAAACATTCCGGATCATATTATAAACTGATGAAGTTGTATCTCCATAAAAGCGACATGTGACTTTTTGTCAGTTGACTTTTTTTAGGTTTGTTTGTCTGAAGTAGTTTTATGTCCATTTCGTTATTAGAAAGCAAAACACATTTCAGTTAATTTTTACTTACAATACATGTATTGGTTAATGTAGTTTTCATCCACTTATAATTGTTGATGTGATGATACTTAGGGCTTTAAATTGCGGTATATAAGGAGATTCGATTCAAATTCGCTAGATGCCATCTTTAAGCGGCTGTATGGACAACTGTTTAATTTATTTTTGGTTCCAGTTTTGTTATGAAGGTATTCATTATTGTGAAATTCACTTTGTATTGTAACTCTTTGATCATATATTAAGAAAAAATTGATGTTTTTATATTCTGTTTCTTTTTTCAGATTCTCTCATTACTAATTTACCTGTTCAAACAGTTCAACAAGTGGATTTACCATATCCTGAAATACGATATAAGTAGGTCAAATATGTGTTTTTTCCTCCAATGCCGCTAAAAGACTGGTTGTAGCTCGGTTACTTAGTCCTGTTCGGAATTCATGTGCACGTTATCTGGTGACTTAGTGGTAAAATCTCTTTCCCCCTTACAAATTTGTGGCACCACTGCTTCTGCCTATATGGTCTGCATTTCGTTCTAGTGGTGCATTAAGTGATATTAAGTACTATGCATGCAGACACTTAACGAGCATCATCCACAACCAATCGCTTATCTTCAAATAACTTCAAGTTAATCATTCATTCGTTTCTATTCATTATCTTTTAAAATATTCGCCCAACAGTTATAATATCCATAGTTCTTTAAAATATTTTGAAGAAATTTTTGCATGTTTACTTACATCTGTTACCCGTCGTGGAGCATTGACCGTCGACAATTGCTCCAAATAAATCTCTCCTGGGCTCTCGATTCGCGGTTAGTGTTTTCCTTTTAATACCTGCCTCCGATTCCCGGAGCAAGGTGTTCTTTGGTCTGCCCCTTGTCGTTTTACCTTGAGGAATTAAAGTTAGGACATTCTCCGTGGTACCGTCTGATGATTTCTGTAGCATGTGTCCTATCCAACTACAGTGTCTTTTCTCGATTTCAATTGCAGCTGGAAACTGATTTGTACCCCACCACGTTCGGTTGTTGCCGATGTTATCCAGCCAACGAATTTGGATTATCTTGTGTAAACAGCTGCGCATTAATATCTGCATTTTCATGCTGGTGGTTGTGGTAATTCTTCAATTTTCTGGTCCATGCAATGAAATGTTTTTAAAGTTGGTGTTGAGAATTCAAACTTTGATGTTGTCAGACAGTTGTTTCGAGTTCCGTATATTCTTTGATCTTAGGAATGCTGCCCTTGCTTTGCCAATCCGTGCCTTCACATCTCTATCACATACCTCATGTTTATCAATGATGTCCAGATGCATCAAAGTCCTCCACCTCTCCCAAAGCTTTTTCCTTTGTGAATGTTAGACCTGCTGCTGATACACTGAATACCTTCACCGGTATCTGTTGTCGTATAAGGAATAGGAGAGCTAGGTCATCTGTGAAATCCAAATCGCCTAGCTGTATTCTATCTATTCATTGTATTCCATGCTGCCCCTAAAATGCAGAGGTTTTCATATTCGAGTCAGCCACCAGAAGAAAGAGAAAGGGCGAGGGTATGTAGCTTTGTCTGACATCGGCCTTCACTTGGAATGTATCTGTCAGCTGCACTCCATGCACGACTATGCAATGTCCGTCGTATGAATTTCGTGTGGTGTTGACTATCTTCTAAGGTGTTTTAGGAGGCTACAAGGTCCCTTCGATCCTTGCTTTAAAATGCTTTCTCTTCGTCATAGAAGTTGACGTATCATAGCGGGTTCCATTCCATTGAATAACCTTGTATCATTGTTTGGATCTTCTCATTAGCATTTAGAACTGCAGTCGATAAGTCTCCTACTGGCATATCTTCGTCCTGTACGAATTTCCTCGATATTGCCTTAAAATGGGAGGATTATTAGCAGAGACGAATGATTGCTAGCAGTAGAATTCAGAGCGTGCGTTTCGTCCTCTCTGGGACACGTCAAATGAATGTACCTGAATCACATAGTTGGTGTTCACTCCGCGACTCATACCTAGTACTTTGCGTATCGGATCCCATTTTCCTTATCCACTCAGCTACTAATTCCAGATGGCTTCTGGAATAGGATGAAGTTTAATTCGTCTTGTATTGGCTATTTAAATATCCTCAAACAGGACGAAACGCGCGTCCTGTAATACACTGCTAACCACCATTCGCCTGTGCTTACAATTCTCACACTTGCCCAGATCTACTTTTTCTGGTATCTTGAAGAGGTGTCCTTCTTTCAGTCTATCAGCACTTGTTCCCAAATCTTTCTGAATGGGATGTGGAGCATCTTCGTAGTCACCTCTATGTCTGACTTCAGTGCTTCATTTTGTACGTTTTCCGGGTTTACTGATCTCCCACTCTTGATTTCTTTGATTTGAGTGACAAGTATAAAGTGGTCTGTGTGTGCTGTTTCGATGTCTGATGGGTTCAGTAGGGTTGGTCTATTTTGGAGCTCTTCAAAATCCTATATCCTCTTGTTCCTCTGTTCTTGAATCTCAGTGATTGGCTTTCCTGTTTTCTTGACTGTTTTTTCTTGGCTTAATTTATTTCCCTGCTGGTTTCTCCGTTCGGTCATACAGTTCTTGCCCACTTTTTTGCAGCTCGTTCTATTGTAGTTACCAGTTCATATACCCATTTCCACTTGTCAACTCGCATGCTCTTTCCCTATTATTCGTTTGCTTCTGTATGGTCAGCCTGTGTCTTGACCTTTTCTGCTCTTGTTTTGCTGTTGTTGATTGCCGTTTTGTTCTTCCTTTCTTGAATCCTCCTTAGGGTTCCAATAAAGATCCATTCTTTATGCTGGTGTTTCTTACGGCTAAGCACGTCCTCTATTTTTGAAGTTGTTGCTTTTTATCCCCTTTCAGATATTTTCCATAGTGGTTTCTTTTTCTGTGAATAGATCTTGTTAAATTTGGAACATGTTTCTGGGAGCTATATTGAATTTGTCGAGTTTGTCAGTATCTCGAAGAAAGGACGTATTAAACCTATCTAGTGATGATCATTCAATCATTCAATTCGTTAGTTTTAGTTTCATTTTGGCCACCACCAGGTGATGATTTGAAGCTATATCTTCTCTTGTCGTTCTCACATCCTCTATAGTGTAAATGTAATCGATCTGGTTTTCAGTGTGATCCGGTGAAACACATGTAGCTTTGTGTATTCACATAAATTTCAGACCTTTCATCATTCTCGTTCCTTTCCCCCAGTCTATGTCGTCTCATAATAGCTTCATACTTGATGTTTTTCATTACAACTTAAACGTTCAGGTCTCCCATCAACATGGTTATGTCCTTTCCTGAACACTTCTCTATGATTGACTGCAGCTGTCCGTAAAGTTGGCCGTTTTCATCTTCATTGCTGTCATCGACAGGGGATAGTACTAGATAATATTTTTTGCAATCTTCCCAGTTTTTTTTGAAGGCCGTTCTGATGATTGCTGGATTCATGAGATTCCCATCCTATAAGTGTTTATCATGCTTCTTTGGACAGCATCAATTCAACTCCCTGAGTGTGCGAAGCATTTTGTTCTTCACGATTGGAGTACAACAGCATCTCTGGAATCCTATTTTTTCTATTCAGCCTGCGTTCAATGGGTTTGACCTATTCCGAGCACCTCCAGGTTGTATCTCTTCACTTCCACAGCTATTTGACTGACGCTTCCGGTCTCCTGTATTGTGCGAACATTCCATGTGTTGATTAGTAGTTGTTGTTAGAAGGGACACCGGCCTTGTGATGTTTAAGGAGTCTCGGCTTACACAAGGACGTCATAGCTCCTGTTCTGGTGATGTTTTGTGGCTAGCTTTCTTAACAAAGTTGTTTTCTATGGGATGATTTCGCTAACCATGTGCTCAATCCTCCTCTTAGAGAGAAAGAACAAATATTGATGCTCTCTTTAAGATAATAAAGGGAACTATGTGTATGAAATAATCCTCCTTTATCTGGGCTCTGGAATGACAGCAACGCTGGAAAAGCTCTAATCGAAGTTAAACTTCCGTATAGATGGTTTTTATAACCGTTTCACACCTACTGAACCAAACAATCAGGAACTCCATAACTCGATTACTAAGTGGTACTGATTTTCTTCGACGATATGTATAAAAAGTATAGATATAGAACACCTGAATAGTTCTTAACAGTGTCTATGAAGTCAGTCAGTTCCCACAGAGTTGGGTATGTTCACGTTTTCGGTAACAAAATTTATTCCTATATAGAAAGGAATTTGTTTTGATAATGGGCGATCAAGCAGGAACATTATAATTATATTGGATTCGAGAATTGCGCGATAAATTATTTTTCTATAGCAGTATACATTTAAAACATACAAGGAACGAAGTTTCTATTTTTTGCGTATTTATTGAACCAAGCAAAATCATCAAAAATTCGATCATTCAACAAAATAGCTGGTATAATATAGGGTCAGGTAAATTCGAACTAAGCACATTCAGCAAAAGACGGGGTAGAATCAAATAAATGATCAAGGCTCAAAACTTAGACAAAATAACAATCTCTTAATGAATCAAGAGTTGAACTCCATGCACATTATTATGGAGGGTTTGGGAGGATAAAACAATATACTCATATGGAAGGGATTATCTCACACATGCACGCCTATCTATCTACATAACATACAAAAAGTATTTTACCACGGTTCTTTTGATTTTTCGTTTCACTTGGTGAAATCTAAACTATCACATACTTCTACTTTACTTCAATGCATGTGTTCATCGTGCATGATATAAAGAATTCTTAGAATTCTTTTTTTAACATGTATCAGGTTTAATGAAATTTATACCGGTTTTCTTATGTTACCAACTTTAGTAGACCACATATCTTTATTGTTACGCGGTTTACATTATTATGTTACTGGGGTTTCGAATTATGATTTCCAGGTATTGTACTGGATTCAGGATTCCTCCAAATACTTTCTTGGTCATTTTAATTCGTCTAAGCATGTTCAAAACCATAAGGTCACAAAATAATCGAGAGGTGGTGGGATTTCATCCACAGCTTCTGTTGATATATCATATACACTGAAGTAAAGAGATCGGTATCTGGTTTCAACCGATCTATTTATCGTAGCTGCTTTCTTGACGTGGTGATCAGGCTTTCAAATAGTTCTGATCCAATTGAACTTTATTGACTGTAGGACCTACCATGCTAGGCTGATTGGTTTGAGAACGGTGGATGGATTTATACTGATAACTTTCAAAATAGACTCATCGATGGGTCCAGATTGACCACATTACCATCAGCCGTCTTCAGAGAAGCCTGATATAAGTCTGTCGCCTATTATGGAGAACTTTCAGGCTCTTGATGCTTTAGTATGAGCGCACCTTTGTCTGCGTTTCAACAAAAGCACCAAAGACACAACGGCAAAACTTCGAAGTCCATGTTAACGATAAAATAACCAAGATTATGTTTTTTTTATGAACGACTAACATGGCAGTCAGTCATCAGAGTGATTTTCATTTCGGTTTAGTCTGGTTTGATACTCGAATGGCTGTGAAAACAGAATTAAAATAAATGTCTATTGCATTAGTCTACGCTCGAAAACTGATCCCACAAGTCTACTCATCAAACATGGACCGTGGTAGCCAGCGAAACGAAAGGAATTCGGAACTGACGGAAGTAATATGCAGCATGAATCACAAACTAACAAATGTTCCCCAATTTCGTACTGTAGAAACATGATCAGTCTAGATGCTTGTCAGTTGGTTTGTCTTTTCGCGCACATGTGGTGTTCTATGATCCATTGAGCGATCGCTGTTTTGCTCGAGAGTAGTGCAATTTCGGTCATATGTTACTTGATGTAAAGCTAATTATATGTGTTTAATAGGAATTTGGCGTCGTTTTCGTGTTAATGTTGTTGATATACAGTGACAAATAATCAGACCAACTTGAAGGACGTCAATCAACAAGTAATCCTTCACTCCCACTTGTTTTATCGCCTTTGGTTATATTTGCATCTGATCGGTTTTCTTTATTTGATTCTTGATTGTAACTCCGAAATTTCACTTCTACAAACAAATTAACTTCAACTTCTAGTTTTTTTTCCATTATATTGTTCTTGGTATTACCTGTTCATGTGTAATTTAATGAATAACGTGAAAGTTGAGTTTTTTTTGTATCAAATATTTATTCACGGTCTTATGCTTAGCAGTTAACTCATTGTTTTAATTAAGCCGATTGGTTTGTTTGATAATTTATTTGTCCTGTTTAAAATTTTCATAATTTTCACAGCAACTCAACTACTATATCACCAACGTTACATGAAGATGTTCATAATTCGGTTTTATCGATTAAAGGTAAGCGCCTATGTGTGACGGAAAATATGGAAAATTGTTCTCGTTTCCGACTTGTTGAAGAAATTTGATGCATGGAACAACAAATAATACTGATGATCAAATCAAACAATATTTTTGTTGAGATTTATTATTTCCCGAGCATTTTATTTTTTCTACAAGAATGCTTTGAGTATTCTATCTTGTATTTTTTTAAAAGCTTTACTGTTTTCTTATTCATAATAGTTCTAACTGGAATTATGCATAATCTTTTTAAATGACAAATAAAGCGAATTATCCATAACTGATAAAATGACTTCTCAGTTCAATTCGCTTTTCGCAAAACTATGCTTCCTCAAAATGACATTTTTACTGCTAAGGTTTGTCCACAGCATATTTATTACAAAGATGTCGTTAGGTAACATTAAGTTTCACCACTGTGGTAATGAGTACGCTGTCTAGTTTATATACGGTATGTTGTGGGTTGTTTCATTGTGGCAGTCCTTATGCTACGGTGTTCAGATAACAAGTGCATTCATACAACTCAGCAATGTAGTAAGAAAACCTCAATATACGAACTCTGGAGACGTTTACAATCTAGGTAGCTTCATTCAGGTATTTCCTTATAGATGTACAAGTGACTGCATATAAGCAGCGTCTCTTTCCACAATTTAGAGGTATATATCTAAATTAAGGTAGGTTGACTGGTGACTCAAGGTACGTTATTATAGGAATAAATCTCAAAGTTGGACTTGGTGGTTTCAAATGAATTGAGCATTGTGCGGAAGGTTGGTAAAAATTATGTTTTCGTTATATCCCAAAAGGAAGTTGCATTCCTCACGTTTCATGACTTATTGTGGGACAATTCCTCATAGTCAGTAAGTCATCATCGGTGCTCTCTGAAGAGTTCCGGAACAGTTAGTTTGCGTTTCACTAAATTATTGGGCGAAATTAGTGAACCGATAGGCTACCATCAAGTGACATTACATGTGTCAGGCAGAATATTTTATGGTGTGTGACCACATAAAAATAGTGCTTATCGGTAAATAAATCCCCAAAATAAATAGCTCTGTAAGTTCTCGACATTGGATGCTTATCACACTGGTTTTATTGGATCCACTTAGCTGAAGGCGCTCGATCATGCATCCACACCAGATCACGGGTGGGAACGCGGTGCTCAACATCCCCTGCAATCGCTAACCAGATTAGATCAGTCGATCCTCAATATATTGATAGTCTATCAAATATACCTTCGAACCTCCTCGCTTCTGTCTCTTCATCTCACTTGGTTGGTACGATTCATATTAGGTGTTACTGGTTAGAGCGTTGTCAAACTCCAAATACCTGTGCATCTTCATTGGTGAGCCCGACGTGATCTGGTACACCGAATAGCAAACTGTGAGTTTGCATATGCCAACCGCATCCTAGAAATCTTCTAATACTGAGGTTTTTCAGTCAAAGAAAAACCTCAGACGACATTACAGAGTTATGTCATACACTTATACGTTATCTTAAATTTCGTAACGACCGTAAACGGTCACATACCCCTCGAAGAAGCACGTCACGAAAGCGATCTGTCTCTAGACCACGAGAGACGGATAACCACGACTGGTGCTGGTATCATACCCAGTATAGAAAGTCCACCAGAAATCTCAGAAAACCCTGCAAATTTCCCAACTCAAAACCGACCGACAAGTAAAACAACTCGGGAAACTTCCCAGCCGGCACGCGTTCACGGCGACCGTAGCCGGCAGACATAGCCGTCGTTTATGAGTCACAGATGTGATAATGAAAGTTTGCTCCCTCGTCGATACTGGCGCAGAAGTTAACGTTATTCCAGGGAATCCTAACGACCGACTTCATGAATCAGTTTTAAACCTACAGGCAGCGAACGGAAAGCCTATCGCTACATAAGGTAAAATGTACGTTTACCTTAACGTAGGTTTACGCAAATCCATTCACTGGATCTTTGTTGTTGCAGGTGTTTCTATGCCAATCATTGGTATAGACCTCCTACAACACCACAATCTAATCATCGATACGCGCAAACGGAGGCTAGTAGACGGAAACACTAATTTATCTGTTTGCTTAACCTCTTTTTCTAGTTGCAGATTATCTCCCGTCACAGTCAGGCACACGATAGACCCATCCTATAAACCATTACTCGATACGTATTCTGGGAGATACCGACTGCAACCAAAATTTCCGTGCGTAACCAGCAATGTTACGCATCACATCACGACTACAGGACCTCCTGTATTCTCGAAAGCACGCCGACTGGATCCCGAAAAGCTGAGGTTGGCTTAAAGCGAATTCGATCACATAATAGAGTTAGGAATCATTCAACCGTCAAGCAGCCCATGGGCATCTTCATTGCACATTGTTCGTAGAAAGGACAGCAACGATTAGCGTCCAACTGGTGACTATTGGCGATTGAATGCGAAAACCACTCTTGATCGTTACCCGTTGCCTCACATTCACGATTTGACAGCTACCTTGAAAGGTACAACTGTCTTTTTGAAAATCGGCTTGGTTAAAGGGTATAACCAACTCCATATGGGTACTGACAATATTCCAAAAACCCGCTATTATAACACCCTTCGGACTCTACAAATTTTTGCGAATGCCTTTCGGTCTAAGAAATGCTACCCAAACTTTCCAAAGGTTCATAGATAACGTTTTTCGACGCCTCAACTTCGTACATGCGCATGTTCATGAATGCTTAATAGCCATTCCGGACAGCGAATCGCGTCTCTAGCATCTGGATCTTGTGTTCGAACGACTACAAAAACATGGCATCACGGTAAACATTCAGAAATGCCAAATCGGAGCTGACTCCTTAAATTTCCCAGGACACACTATTGATGCGCAAGGCATCCGACCTCTTAGGAAAAAGGTCGCGGCCATTCTGGATTACCCGGAACCGATCACGACTGGGCATGTGCACACATTTAACGGACTTGTAAGTTTCCATAGACGGTTCATATCGAAATGCGCGTCACTTATGAAACGGCTAACCAACCAACTTCGCGGAAATGCGAAATCCATTAGTCTGGACGATACTGCGCGACAAGCATTCTCCACAGTTAATAAACCCATAGCAAAGGCAACGATGCTCCAACATCAGGACACTCAAGCGCCCATTAATGTCGCAGTACACGCATCAGACTCAGCAATCGGAGGAGTCTTACAACAATGGGTTAACCACTCCTGGCAACCTTTGGCATTCTTCTCGAGATGGTTGCTAGACACTGAATCGAGGTACAGCACTTTCGGTAGGGAACTCCTAGCTTTATATTGTGCTGTACGGCATTTTCAACACTCTATTTAGGACCAACACTTCACTCATTTTACTGATCATAAGCCGCTTACCTTTTCTTTAAGTTCATAGTCGGACAAGTACTCACCACGTGAGTCTGGACAACTGGACAAATTTCTCAGTTTACTTCAGACATTCAACACATTTCTGGAGCAAACAATGTAGTCGCGGACGCCTTGTCTCGCATAACTTCCTTGAATAGTTTTCAAGGAATCGACCTTCTTAAACTCGCCGAGCTTCAAAAAGAAGACACTGATCTTGAGCACGAGTTATCCTCAACAGCCCTTAAGCTGCGCATCAAACAGATGGGAATAGGTAAGGAAACCTTACTCTGTGATACATCTATAGTTAAGGATCGCCTAATCGTACCGAAACTTTATCTATGCAACGTCTTCTATACGTCTCACAAACTTTCTCATCCATGTGTTCGTGCAACCATCAAGCTTATAGCAGAACGGTTTTGCTGACCTGGCATGAATAAAGACGTGAGGGACTGGGCACGCTTCTGTGTAGGCTGCCAAAAATCTAAGGTCATCAGACATAATAAATGTTCCTTAGGCTCATTTAAAACTCCCGATGCTCGTTTCGACCATTTTCATCTTGATTTGGTAGGACCTTTACTAGATTCAAATGGATAGTCTTACCTTCCAACCTGCGTGGACCGTTTCAATCGATGGCCAGAAGCAGAACCTATCAAGGACGTTGTAAGATCCATTTTGAGTGTGTTGTGTGTTGGTGAAAATCCCTCCATGTATATACTTGTACTTTATTCCTATTGATCACATTAGTTGTACATTGTTGTATTTTGATTACATTTGAATTGTTAATATTTGTATTTTTGTTATAGTTTTTGTTTTTATTACGCATTCACTAAGTTTGTGTTTCTTCCTGAACTGCATCTGCGTTGTTTTACTTGACACTTGTTCTTGGCGGTAGCCATATTGATTTGTTCCTCCTGTTGTATGTGATCTATCCAGTCAGGATAGAATAACGTTCATTTGTTGTGATTGGTAATTTTTCCTCATCTTCTATCAACTTCTTTATTTATTTTAATTTAGATTTAATTGATTGAACAGTCATTGGTTGAATAGCCGGGTGATAATATTTGTTTAGGTAATGATTTACATTAAATTTATTATGAATTATAGAACCGCTAGTTACCCGATTACTTGTTCTGATTTCGACGGGAAAGGGCGCGTGTCTAAAGTCACGGAAGGCTGTTCTTCAACATCCAAACCGTAGTTTGTATCCTACAGACGTTACTGCCGAAACAGTGGCTTGCGCCTTCGTCGAACGATGGGTAGCAAACTTCGACTCTCCTTCAACCGTCACAACAGATCGCAGACGCCAATCTGAATCTGAACGTTTCCTTTGTCTGACCGCACTATTAGGAATCACTCGTTTCCGAACGACCGCCCACCACCCACAAGCATACGAGCTAGTAGAACGCTTTCATCGACAACTAAAAGCTTCACTATCAGCTGCAAATATTTCTCGGTGGACCAGCGCCCTTTCACTCGTCTTACTAAGTATTCGCAATGCAGGAAAAACTGACATTGGGTACGCTGAAGCTCAACTGGTTTATGGAACAACACTTCGACTTCCAGGAGAATCCGTGGATCCTTCGTCTTCTTCAATGAACATGGATCTAACCTCCTACACGAACAGGCTTACAAACGCAATGCGTTCAGTTAAACCTGTCTCCACTCGACCGCAATCAACTGATGTTTTCGTTCAACCTGACTTACGACTTACGCACGTTTTCATTCGTTGAGACTCACATCGACGGCCTCTCGAATCAGCATACGAAGGACTTTTTAAAGTTGTTCAGCGCGAACCAAAGTACTATATAATCGATAAGAACGGAACCAACGTTAGCATCAGCTGCAATCGCCTCAAAGCAGCGCATTTAGATGGAAATCCTATCTACGTCTATTTTCTTTCGATACAAACGAACGACACGACTCCGACACTTATAATACCTCATT